CATGACATCACAAGGTGGAACTGAGCAGTTTGAGCTTTGGAGATGTAGACAGACGAATAATAAAGAGACACTCAAACATGTGTGAATGAAACTGAAATGAAATGTTTGTATTTGCGTCTGTATTGTTATGTGTATGTGAAGATTTGAAATAAATAACTAAACAAAACACAGCTTCAGGTCTGATTGTGAAGAGGAAATGACATTATAGATCAGATATAGTGTTGTATGTTCCCTTTAATGGTTGTAAATGTATTAAAACGTATAGAGTAGAAGATCTTGTGGAGTACGTACGTGTAAATCATGATGTAGAACATTCGCACGTGAGGACTCGGGCTGCCGGGGACTTTCAGGTAAACGTCATGAGGGTCTCCAGGAACCTGCACACAGCAAATAAAACTCACTGCAGACCCTTTAAAAGTTTCTCAACAAATGTACAAACACATTCCAAGAGGCAAAAGTGAAGAGGAGCGTTTTTTATTTTTTGTTTTAGATCAATATTGGTCCTCATTCATGAAACGTTCTTACAAACAAATTTGTACAAAGGCTTCTTCAGAACATTTTTGGCATTTACAAAACTTTTTCTTCAATGTTCTTCTGGAAGAACAAATTGGACAAACAGGACTCGTAAGAACACAAATTATACTCCATTCCATTTTCTTCCAATTATCCGGGGCCGGACTCCCAGACTTCCCTTTCCACGCACACGTCCTCCAGCTCTTCTGGGGGACCTGAGGTGTTCCCAGGTCAGTCCAGAGACATAGTCCCTCCAGTGTGTCCTGGGTCTTCCCCGGGCCTCCTCCCGGTGGACATGAACACTCCTGAGGAGCGCCGAAGCAAACCTCCTGGCTCTCCACGTGGAGGAGCAGGGCTCTACTCCGAGTCCTCCTGTGTGACTGAGCTCCTCACTCTGTCTCTAAGGGAGACGCCCAGACACCCTGCGGAGGAAACTCATTTTGGTCGCTTGTATATAAATTATACTGTTTTAGAATATTATTACTCTGATAATGCAACTAAAAATGAAAATTCCTCCAGGATTATAAGTTACAGTATATATTTTCTTTAATTATTTCTTAACAATATGGCCATAGCTCATGACTGAAAGGACGAGATCGTGGATACAGGCAGCAGAAATGAGTTTCCTCCGCAGGGAGTCTGGACGTCTCCCTTAGAGACAGAGTGAGGAGCTCAGTCACACGGGAGGAGCTCGGAGTAGAGCTGCTGCTCCTTCATGTCGAGAGGAGCACCTGAGGGGAGGACGTCTGTTCCAGAAGCCTCCTGTTCCGGGCATGTTCCACCGGGAGGAGGCTCCGAGTAAGACCCAGGACACACTGAAGGGACTTTGTCTCTGGACTGGCCTGGGAACACCTCGTCCAGCCAAGAGAAACATAATTATTACTTTTTAGTATAGAAAATATTACATCTTTTCCATCCTCAATGATGCATGTGTAACTTTTCTCGCAGAGGGTCTGTCACCTGCTCGTTTTCATGAAGATGTCATTGATCTGCCTGGAATGTTCCACAGTGTGACATTAAACAGCTCTACTTTACATTTATTCAATAATTACAGGTGGTTTTATAACTCAAAAATACTCTTCTGACTGTGAGTGGGGTCCGCCTCTTCACAGATCTGACCTGTAACTTGGTCTGGTTTGGTCTCCATGAAGATCTAAAGGTTTAATGCCACACTGTGGAACATTCCAGACAAAAGAATTACATCTCCATGGAGAAAATGGTTTGAAAAGTTACACAATGCACCTTTAACTCACATATCTACTCTGGAAAATCTAAACTGTAGCTTTTTTCTTGTGAGTTAAAACTATTAGTATTTAAATGTGATGTTAGTTAATCATTGAAAATATAAATGTTCATTTAATTTTGCCTCTGGTTTTTCCTAAAATCGAACATCCTGATGACAAGACCGACTTGAAATTCAGGATCGGACGATATTTGCCATTTTTAGCGCATCAGATATCGGCCGTAAATCTCCAGCAGAGGCTCATTTTTTGTTTGGAACAACTAGAAACTTAAAAATGCATGAAAAATACCTGCATAAAGCTTTAAATCCTTCAGTCCAAAGAGCGTTCTGCAAAAATGTGTCGACTCTACACAGTTTGTAGTAGAAAAAGGTTGTGGATGAGTTTGTACTTTTTCTTTTTCTAAATATCAGCTCAAAAATATCGGCAGAGATCATCGTCCATCAGTTCCTCTGGTTTCTAAAGACTCAGTATCGGGGATTTGCCATGGAAAAAATGAATATCAGTGGATTTCTAGTTAAAGTGTCTGAGGTGAGTTGTGTTTAGTTTAGTATAGTTGAAGTTTCTCACCGTTTTCCGGGTCTGACACACGACGTCCGGGTCACTGCAGTGGACCGTCAGCTGCGCCCCGTCCCTCAGCTTTCCATCTGAAAAACAATATATATGTTTCTTTTGTAAACCTTTTTTTATTTAAAGCAGATCTATTGTGTGTTTGTGCGCTCTGTAGTTATAATCGGAGACGCCTGTGGATCGTTCTGTTATTCCTCCATGAAGGATTTATCTACATGTGTGTGAATATCAAGAAAGTCGCTGAGGCACCGAGGTCCAGTTTTCTCCAGCTCACCCAGTTTGAGAGGACCTCAAAAAAGACGATTTGTCAGTCGGGATCTCAACACAACCTCGAGTGTATCAGCGAACCCTGTCACTACAAATCTCGTTGGATAGACATTCCAATAACAACTGCCGCCTGTAATTATTTTAAAAAAAAATCCTCCATACAACCTTTAATCATTGTGGATCATTCAATTTGGACATTTGAAATCACAGTATTCATCTAAAACCACTTTATCAAAAAAATAACCCAAAAACAAAGTCTGTTGCCTTCTGCGTTAGAAAACTGAGGTGCCCAATGGAAGCTGAAGTTTGCCTCCATGGAGACATTATTTCTTTACCTGGAATATTCCTCAGAATGGCATTAAACTTCTCTATCTCCATGGAGACACGCAGGTCCAAAGAACGATTAAAAAGTTAAATATGTCCTTTATATTTCCTTATCCCCTCTGAACAGACAGTGATTGTGAGGATCTGTACACTGAAAAAATGGTAGATAGAGGAGTTGCTCAAATTGCAAAAAAAAAATTGACAACAATGACTTGACTTTTTTATGATTCTCTGTCCAGCATGTTTAAATCTTACAAAGGTCACATGATTGTGACCGATGTGAGACCTGCAGGTTTTAATCAGGTTGAGGAAACATGACTTTATTATAATCTGTGGTGAGGCTCCTCCCTCTGGAATTCTCCTCCCCAAAACTTTTGGAGGGAAAATTCAAATGCAGCAGGACACAGGACAGATCCAGGAGCAGAGACACACAGTGTGGAGCAGGAGGATCATGAAGCTGATCTGGAGGTGAGACTTTTTAAAGATTTTATATGTTTCTCTGGCCTAGAATGTCGTCATTGTTAAAACATGTTTGTGGTGTTTTATTTGAAATTATGTAAGAACTGTTTCCTTGAAACAAATTGTATTTGACTGTCCATCTACAGGAGTGTGACAGTTGTACTCAGATTTAAATGTGTTTGTTCCAGTCGTCTACAAACACAGAGACGTCCAGGTTCTGCTGCAGCTGAGGGGAAGTTCATGAATGTTACAGCTGATGTTTCAGGAAAAAGGAAGATGTTTGAGAACAAAACACAGAGCACAGATGAACAAAGTAAGTAACTCAACTAAAATGATTTTAAAAGAATTTTTTCAAAATGTATCTTCTACAGGGTGATGTGGCACTAGGAGACTTTATACCAGATGCCCTCCCTGTTACTGCGTTTAGAGGAAGAAAAGCAGCACATGGTGAGTTTTGTTTCTGCAGATACACTTCTAATGTTCTTGTTCTTCTGTTCTGGTCCATTATTGTAGTAATAAGTACTTTAAATGTATTTAAACATGTACAACAGAGTAGATGATCAGAATGTGATCATCATGTGTGATTCTGTGTCCACAGAGACCAGAGCTTCACTGGAATAAATCTTCACACTGTCCAGCTCCAAACTGTGTGTCTCTGTGTGTTTGATTCTGTTTAAGACAAAACAGAACTGTGGAAAACTAAAGACTGTTTTTGTATTCTTTTACAGAATTAGATCAATTAAATTAAATTATACATATTTAAACATTTCACGATAAGGTAACATAAGATAAATATAAATATTCAGCATGATTTGATCAAATTTCATTCAACATGAAAAAGTGACGTTCATGTTCTGAGAAAAATATGTGTCGAGGGGATCAAAATAAGTTTCAAAGCCTAAACATAATTTTATTGCATGCAACCGCTTTCCAGAACTTTTTTACGCAAATCCAGCGACCTTTTTTTTTTTTCAGTGTACCTGGAGGCTGGTCCCCGGGCGGCAGGCGGATGGATTTCTTCAGGAAGGTCTGCTCGGGGTGGTACAGTCTGAAGGTCTGGTCCACCACGTGAGGAGTGGGCTGCACGATCACCTGGAGGATGGACAGAGGCTTCCCGTCCTCAGTGCTGAAGGTCACCTGCAGAGGGCGCAGGTCAGATACGACAGATTACATTCATCTGCACAGTTCCTACAGGTTTCCACAAGTTAAATTCAGGTCTTTTTAAGAACATTTATGTAAAAACTTAATACCTATTTCACGGCTTTTTCACCTTTTACCTTTTTACTTTACTTTTACTTTATTTTTTATTTTTTTCACTTTTTTTTCAGCGTGAAATGTGACGCTCTAACATAAAACCATCGTTAAGAAAACAACAGAACGGCGTTAGTCAAACTTTGGGTTCTGCTGAGATTTTCTTAGATTTTTCGTGCTTCTGCTGAGCGTTTGTTGTGCTGCTGTAGCTCGTGATCTTCAGTGACGTGTTCGGGGGATTTTGACCCGGGGCTGCGTCACGTTCTCAGTTATTGGTTCTGACGTTCTTTATTTAGGCGATGTTATTTAACCAAGTAATGGTGGTTTACAAATTAAAACTTTTGAGGAGAAATGTGATACAAAGAAGTTACACACTCCACAAATTTTAAGACCCAGATATAAAAACTCAAGACTTTTTCCAGTCTTTTTAAAGGTTGTATGGAGGATTTTTTTTAGTTTCAAACTGTCAGTGAAAGTTTAAAACACCATTACAGAGATGCAGCAGCTTTGTAATGATGATGACCAAGAAAAAAGAACGAAAATCTATCAACTGTGGACGTGTTGAGGCCAGATAAACATCAGCCAATAGAAAACGAGGCTGCCTCATTTTCTATTGGCTGTTAGGTTGTCAATCAAACTCCCTAGTGTAACTGACTCGTTGGAGCGCGGGGATTACGTGGTTTACGCAGCGGTTCTTAGAGGCTTTTTCGAACTGTCGCTTCCTCGCATTTCGCACAAAGTTTGTCGCGACGGCGGACGAGAATCCACGACCGGTTCGCCGCAGAAGAAAGTCCGTTTTTGAGGTCGCTGAAAGAAGAAGAGAAGAGGAAAAGGAGCAAAGCCAAACTGAGGTGATTCTTGGAGATCTCGTCCAGCGATGGCGCGACCGAAGCAGACGAAGGGTCTAAAAATGAATTACTTCTAGACAGGAAACTTCAACAGTAATTCTGAACGCGCACAAGGACTGTCGCTGTATTTCTCTTCCCTTAAAAAAATCCTCTATACAACCTTTAAGGTATTACATCCAAATTCATAAATTCAATGCTCTGAAGACTTTTTAAGACCACGCGGGAACCCTGGAGCTTTTTGTCTTCTGTAGGAGCTTCTATGGCCACATCTCATTTCTCTGTCCTCGATTCCTTCTCCTCGATTCCTCTCCTTGATTGTGCAGGAACTGGGTGAGGAAGTCCGACCCACAGAGGAGACACAGCGAGGATCGTGAGGACTACGCTAAGGATTATTTTTATATTAGTATTATTCCAGGACTCAAAGTCAAATCAAAGTCAGATCAACGTCTTTGGTTTCAGATAAATGTGTCTGTGTCAGAGTCCTGCGCCGGTCGGGCAAATAGTCGCTGAAACAGGCGGGTTTTAACGGTCTGGAATTTTACAGGCAGGTGTGCAGGTGGGTATTGATTACAGAGATGGGTCAGGACTAAATCAGGACTAATCTTGGACTTGAGAGAGAGAGAGAACCCCAAGTCCGTGGAGCAGCGTCTCTGCAAAGCTCTGGACCAGTCCTTTCACCTGCGGTCACCCGGTGGTCTACACGGGTGCACCTCCAGGTCTGTCCCGACAGTGAGTCCTGTTTTAGTCCTGGTTTAGACCTGTTTTAGTCCTAGTTCAGTCCTGGTTTAATCCTGGTTCAGTCCTGGTTCAGTCAGTGTCGTGTTTCTTCTTGCTAAAGCCTGTGAAGTGATGCCAGTCGAGTCGCGTCTGGGAATTTGTGTTCGTCCTGAAGAAAGTGAAACCTTTTCATTTTATTTCGTGATTGTAATTCTGCCGACACTGCAGCGTGGGCAGTGATGCGGTCGCTGTATTGGACCGTTGTGGTGAAGAGGGAGTTGAGCCGAAAGACAAAGCTCTCGATTTAGTGTCAGTCTCCGTTCTTACTCTCACCTCTGGTCATGAGCTCTGAGTAATGACTGAAAGGACGAGATTGACGATACAAGCGGCAAAAATGAGTTTCCTCTGCAGGGTGTCTGGGTGAGATAGGGTGAGGAGCTCAGAGTAGAGTCAGTGTTCCTCCACGTGGAGAGGAGCGTCTGAGGGGAGGACGTCTGTTCTGATGTCTCTCCTGGACGTCTCCCTCAGGAGGTGTTTATGTCCCAGGGGAAGAGCCAGGACACACTGGAGGGACGATGTCTCTGGACTGGACTGGGAACAACTTGGGGTTCCACTGGAGGAGCTGGAGGAAGTGTCTGGGGTGAGGGAAGTCTGGGAGTCTCTGCTCAGACTGATGCCCCCGGATAAGAGGAAGAAAATGGATGGATGGATTGTAATTCTTGAAGTCGTAACTTTTCCCTTCATATTCTGATGGACGCTTCAGTTAGAATGAGTTTAATTTGTGTGTGATTCATCTCGGGTCCGGGCGGGTGCGGGTTTAACTTTGATATAATCTCGGGTTAACGGACGGGTGTGGTGCTGTGGTGCCTCCAAAAGTGGACCCGTGCAGGACTGTGGTCTGGGTTGTGTTTTATTCGTTTGATTGTTTACTGCAGCGCCACACAAACATTTATTTTGTTCCCGTTTAAGACGTTTCCCTGTCATCGCTCGTTCCTTGAACTCGTGGCAGATCGCACCAAAAAGGGCCGATTAAAACAACTGTAACTGAGATATGTTCTGTGCCGTTGTCATGAGGAGGAAGACGAGGGCGCAGCGGAGGAACCAGCCTGAGAAAGCCCTCGAGGAACCCCCCTGGAAAAGCTGGAGGAAGCGTCTGGGGTGCGGGGGAGAGTCCTTGTGAAGCCCGCTGCCCCAAACCAGGCGAAGGATTAGAGGAAGAACAGAGATGTAAAGGCGAGCGCGGGGCTTTGAAGTGGCGTGTGAAGCCCCGGTCCCTCATTAGGAGCCGCCGTCCCCACACGTAAACACGCAAACACACAAACGCCGCTTCTATATTTGTCCGCGCTAATGCGGCTCCGCAGGACGCTAAACGAGACCACGATACCCCACTGAACATATGCACAGCTCCACGTGTTTACTAATGTTTAATGCAGAAAGAATGCACCTCGCCTCAAAGATACAGCGCCGCAAGGTCCCGGGTTCAATCCCCCGACGGTGCGGTGTTCTGTAGTCTTCTCCTCCTCGGGTCTGACTGTAAAACGAAGCCGACTACAGGAGTTTGACGTCAGCTAAAGCGTTTAAACTAAGAAAATGAAGCAGTTACAGGAGCGAAAATTAAGAATTGGAATTTACTTTACGGATAAAATAGTGAAATGAAAACTCCAGGATCATGTAGCGCGAGTTAATACGAACATTTAAAGACCAAAATGACGTGAAGTTGTCCTCATCAAATGCAAACCTACGACAAAACTTCGTCAGTCGTTTGTGCTGCTTTAGTTTTGGAGATATTTACGATTCTTTTATTGGGGTCAGTGTTTTACTTTTAAAATGTAATCCCCTACAGATTACAGATTACACACCCCAAAATGTAGTTTGTAACGTAATCCACTAAATTACTTAAAGTGAGTAACGTAATCTGATTACTTTGGATTACTTGATATTGTCATGTTTTTTAAAACTACATGAATGAACCAACCACATCCTGAAAATTCATGTTTGTTTTCTTCAAATTGTCTGTTGAGCCCAAATCTCCATGAACAGACTTTTGTTTTACTGTAGAGAAGAAAAGACGAGGATCTGAACATCAGATGTTTATCTGCTAAAATAAAAAAATAAAAAAAATAAAAAAACAGAATTTACTTAATCAGATTAAAAATTATGATTTTTATATGAGACACTGCTGCCTGGTTTATTCCTAGCTGGTTTTAGTAGTCCTGGTTTTAGTCCTGGTTTAGTCCTGGTTTTAGTCCTGGTTCAGACCGGTTTTTAGTCCTGGTTTAGTCCTGGTTTTAGTCCTGGTTTAGACCGGGTTTAGTCCTGGTTTTAGTTCCTGGTTTAGTCCTGGGTTTAGACTGGGTTTAGTCCTGGTTTAGTCCTGGTTTAGTCCTGGTTTAGTCCTGGTTTTAGTCCTGGTTTAGCCCGGGTTTAGACCGAGTTTAGTCCTGGTTTTAGTCCTGGTTTAGTCCTGGTTTTACTCCTGGTTTAGAGTCCTGGTTTAGTCCTGGTTTTAGTCCTGGTTTAGTCCTGGTTTAGTCCTGGGTTTTAGTCCTGGTTTAGCCCGGGTTTAGACCTGGTTTTAGTCCTGTTTAGACCGGGTTTAGTCCTGGTTTAGTCCTGTTTTAGTCCTGGTTTTACTCCTGGTTTAGTCCAAAATGTGAAAACAGTAAAATCCCTCTGTTTAATCCATTTATTTCAACAAAGTAACTGTAATCCAATTACCACTCACTGAAACAGTAACTGTAACTGAATACAGTTACTCATCATTTGTACTCTGATTACTCCGGTACTTGTAATCTGTTACTCCCCGACACTGACTGGGGTCTACAGCCTCCAGGAAGTTTGAAAAAGCTCTGAAACGACACAACATTGAGTTAATCATTTGTTTTATTTTGGGTCGATGACGTCGTCCAGCCTCAAAACAGTAGAAAATTATACAAACGTTTGCACTTGGTTTGTTCTGTTTTGTGCTGTAAGAGTTTTCATTTGTGCGAGTTTATTTCTAACATTATTAATGATTATTTGTGTGGAGATTATGAGGTCATGACAACAGCGGCTTTAACGAAACTCCACAAAACTCGTGAAGAGAAACGACCTGAGGCTGTGTAAAAGTTTGGATCAGAATCTAGTAAATTGTTTTTGATTCAAATTTTATAGAATAAAACAGATTTTTCCACAGACGCACGTCGTTTCTCTTGCCGTGGCCGTAAACCAGGACTAAACCAAGACTAAAACCAGGACTGAACCAGGACTAAACCAAGACTAAAACCAGGACTAAACCAGGACTGAACCAGGACTAAACCAGGAACCAGACTAAACCAGGAC